GCGCTGAAATGGTCTGTAACGGAGAAGTTCAGTAACTACCTCTATGGCAATCAGTTCACAGTAGTCACTGACAGCAATCCCCTTACCTACATACTTACCTCAGCCAAACTCGATGCAACCAGCTACAGGTGGTTAGCTGCTCTCTCTACCTTCTCCTTTAAGCTCCAGTACCGGCCGGGAAAGCAGAATGGAGATGCTGACGCACTATCACGACGTCCCCATGGCAACCTGCGTGACGACCCCTCATCTCAAAAAGAGTGGGACAGGATCCGCAAGTTCACACGACACCATCTATCAGATCCAGACAACATTGAGGCTGTGGATCAGGGGGTTGTTCGTGCCATTTGTGAGAGACAACTTATTTATTGTGCCAATGATGGAATGGGCAGAGATGGAAGTATCTCCCTCGTCGAGAGCCTTGCCATCTCTGGAGATGCTGTACCTGGCAGTTTTGAGCAGGAAGATGGGCTTGGAGGGCTTCTCATCGTCCCCAACCCTATCAGAGGCAGATCTCAGAGACAAACAGAGAGCTGACCGTCTTACCTGAAGAACTTCGTGAGACGGTCTTAATGAGCCTGCATGACAACATGGGTCATATGGGAAAAGACCGCACGCTGGACTTGGTCAGAGCCAGATTCTACTGGCCGAGGATGGCCTCTGACATTGAGAGGAAAGTCAAGATGTGTAACAGGTGTGTGCTCAGGAAAACCTTACCTGAGAGGGCAGCACCTTTAGTGAACATCATGACAACAAGACAGCTTGAACTGGTCTGCATGGACTTCTTGTCTATAGAACAGGACAGAAGTAACACAAAGGACATTCTTGTGATCACAGATCACTTTACAAAATACGCAGTGGCTATCCCAACACCAAACCAAAAGGCTCAAACGGTTGCAAAGTGCTTATGGGACAATTTCATCATCCATTATGGTATTCCAGAGAAACTGCACAGCAACCAAGGTCCTGATTTTGAGTCGCGACTAATCAAACAACTGTGTGAAGTTGCAGGCATACAGAAAATTCGAACAACTCCGTACCACCCAAGGGGCAACCCGGTGGAACGTTTTAACCGCACTCTGTTAGACATGCTTGGCACTCTGGAAAATCAGGATAAGTCACACTGGAAGGACTTTGTGAAGCCTTTGGTCCACGCGTACAATTGTACCAGAAGTGAAGTGACTGGGTTCACACCGTATGAGTTAATGTTCGGACGCCAGCCACGCCAGTCGACCTTGCATTCGGCTTACCTGTCAAAGAAGAGCAACAGAAGTCACACTCCCAGTATGTAAAGCACCTCAAATCCCACCTTGAGGAGAGCTACAAAATAGCTACAAGGAGTGCTGCCAAGGTAGCTGAAAAGAACAAAACAAGGTTTGACAAGCGTGTGACTCCTTCTGCTCTGGACATTGGAGACAGAGTACTTGTCAGGAACGTACGCATTCGTGGAAAGCACAAACTTGATGATAAATTGGAGTTCACCGTCCATGTGGTAGTGAGGAAAGCTGGAGGCCTCCCCGTCTGTACAGTAAAACCAGAGCCCGGAGAAGGCCCCTGGCGCACTCTGCATCGAGACCTCTTGCTCCCATGTGGGTTCCTCCATGTAACACCAGAAGAACAACCCAAACCACTCGAGCGCCGCAAGACACGCCAGAACATTCGCAGTGACCCAAGAGAAGTTGATCAGTCCTCGGATGAGGATGATATCATTCCTGTTACCTGGTCCCAAAAAGAACCAGTCTCAGAAGTAACCAGATATATTGTCTCGCGAGATGTTCTAAGACACCATGGTCCAAGCCATTCTAAAGAGAATCTGACGACAAACCTCAACAAGGTGACTGATGATGTTCCAGCTAATGAGAGTAGCCTGCCTGTAACAACTGATGATGTTCCAGCTAATGAGAGAAGCCTACCTGATGTTGCTCCAGTCAACAGAGTAACACTGAACCTGAACTTACCTGGAAATGAACCTGTGGAAATAGAAGACTTACCTGGAAGTGAATCTGTGAAAAGGGAGACAAACTTTTCTGACAATGGCAACCTTGTGAAAGGCTCAGATGAGGACTGCCCTGAACAACTTCCAGTCCCCTCCGACATGCCAGAATGTGATGAGACAAATGTTCTTGAAAATGAAGGAGAAGAGGAGATTAAGGAGATGGAGGGACAAGCAGATACTGATGACCTAGTCAGGAGATCCGTGAGGAATCGTCAGCCACCTAGGCGGCTGGACTACACTGAACTGGGAACCCCCTTAGTCACAGTGGTGAAGTCATTCTTTCAAGGGCTGACCACTGTGTGGAACGACATCATAAGTGAGAGTGATGCGTCAGCTCATCCCCCTGTTCTGTTCCCTCCGGTGATAACTGTTTGAACATTGCCATGCACAGGGACGTGCATAAGTTAGGAGGGGAAAGTGTAACCCGCACAAGGTTACTGGAGTGCAACTCTCATAATGTTTCCACCTCCGTGCTTGACTGTAGGGATGGTGTTCTTGGGGTCATTTCTCTCCCTCCAAACACGGCGAGTCCAGTTAATGCCAAAGAGCTCAATTTTGGTCTCATCTGACCACAGCACTTTCTCCCAAGCCTTCTCTGAATCATTTAGATGTTCATTGGCAAACTTTAAATGGGTACATGTGCCTTCTTGAACAGGGGGACCTTGCGGGCTCTGCAGGATTTCAGTCCATTGCGGCGTAGTGTGTAATCACTGTTTTGCTTGGTGACTGTGGTCCCAACTGCCTTAAGATCATTAACAAGCTCCTCCTGTGTAGTTCTGGGCTGATCCCTCACCTTTCTCATGATCATCCTTACCCTATGAGGCGAGATCTTGCACGGAGCTCCAGACCGAGGCCGATTGATGGTTGTTTTGTATTTCTTCCATTTCCGAATAATCGCACCAACAGTTGTCTCCTTCTCACCAAGCTTCTTGCTGATAGTTTTGTAGCCCATTCAAGCCTTGTGCAGATCTACAATCTTGTCTCTGACATCGGCATTTGACAGCTCTTTGGTCTTGCTCATGGTGGTGGGAGAGGTTGGAATGGAAGATACAGATTGTGTGGACAGGTGTCTTATACACCTAACGAGCTGACATTAGGAGTAACTTCTTAAAGTGGCAGGACTAATCTGTGTTCCACATGGGCACATAACCAATCTGTGGGAGCCAGAATTCTTGCTGGTTGGTAGGGGATCAAATATTTATTTCACTCACTGAAATGTAAATCAATTTCTAACCTTTATATAATGTGTTTTTTCTGAATTTTTTGGTTGATATTGTGTCTCTATCCATCTGTAAAAATTACAGACCCTTAATTTCTTTGTAAGTGGGCAAACTTACAAAATCAGGTCAAATAAATATTTCCCCCACTGTATATGAAGGTTTCAGGAATTTAGGTGATGGCCTCGACCTTGCTCCCGAACCTTTAGTTAACAAACCAACTCCCTAAAAACACCGTTTCTGAAAAGGAACATCTAGTACTGTTAATGACTAATTCTGAGAAACATTATTACTCAGTCAGTAGTTGAACATATTAGCATACATATTACAATATAAGCATAAACACAAAACAAAACAAAAAAAGAATCAATAAATAAAAATTCATAAATGAATACATGGATATGAAAATCAAGGAAAACCTAACATTGATTTGGACACATCAGCCATGTTTTTCTTTATACTGTACATATTTTAAAGAAACATTTAAGAAATAGAGTGGGATTATCGACTAAAAAATATTTTTTTAATGCTATATTGATACTAAAATGGATATTTCCTATCTTCTTATATTCGCTATAAAATGGGTAGGTTAAGGGGTCTAAAAATCTAAATTGCTTATTGATAAAATGATAAAAATGCACTGGTACAAATATCTTAATGATATAAAAGATTTGTACATATTTTAAAAAATTTTAGCTATAAAAATTTAGCAATTTTACGTTTTAAACATTGTAACACGTCCAAATTGTATGTTCCAGGATAAAACAAAACGTACAAAAATGTTTGTTTTGTGCTTATAGATGTTATATATTAATACATATAAACAATGAGAACAGGCTGCTCTCACCCACACTTAAGCACACGCACACACACACACACGCAACTCTTGGGATAGCATAGTAGTAATGACCCTACAGCGTGACTGTGTCCATCGATCATAATGATCTGTTTTTGCCATAGATTAATTTTATTTTCATATACGCTAACAATATATGCAATAGCTAACAATCTGTCCACTAAACTATGATACTCATGAACTATTTTTACATTTTAAATAATTAGAACACTTCTCATATATATTATACATGAACTATATTTTAGATATTCATGCAGGTTGCAGAGCATAACATCTCTTGCCCTTAGTGACTGAATATCTGATAAATCAATCTTGAATTTTTGTATGTGCATCACTGTAGAAACCTAAAATGCATGTCACTTGAAGTGTAGTGCTTAATGTGTGTACATGCAGTCTGTAAAATTCACCTGGGAAAACATCCTTCCCCAAAGTGGTGCTTAAAGTGTGATTATGTTTAACCAGTAGATATGTTTCACTCATAAACTGCTGTGTTTAACATTTCTCCCTCTCTCTCTCCTGTAAGAATTGAGGTGATTCAGTGAGTTGTTAGCTCATGTTTGATCCAAAACTCAAACACCAAAGACAGCGTTTTTTTTGTAGAACTTTATTTTTGAAATTATTTTATAAAATCATCGCTTTTAATTAATTTATATAATTATAGGATTATACTTTTGCTGACACACTTTTTTGGCAAACTCCTTACCCCGGTTCCACCAGCCCCTTCGCCCCACCACGTCTCCGTTGAAGATCAAACTTGTTTGCCAGATCTGACCTCTGCAGAAGTGAATGCTGCTTCATGGACAGGGGAAACCAGGAGCAGTGTATAGAGGGTCAACACACTCATCAGTTCAGCTCTAGTGAAATCACCACACAAACCCATTAAACAGGGTATGATGAGAACTGATGGGCGTGAGAGAGAAAGTGGCTTAGTCACACACAGGTTATCCATCACTCGGAGTTAAAACACTTTCAAATGGCTCAGTTACCACGCAGAGATGAGCAGGTTCTGTCTTCACAGCCTGAGGGTGTTTGGCACATTACAGTTTGATTGGTTAACCATGCTGTCACATGAGTGTAAAATCCAATCAGATTATTCCTGGCAGCTGTTTAGTACCATTAACACTCGTTCCACTAAATCAAAAACACATACTGACGTTACTTCGTAAGAACATGCCATCTTTATGTCTTGTGCTAGTTTCTGTTTCCCTGACAGATTTTTTTGGCCCTCGCTTTATGCTGTGTACAGTCATTAAGCATCGAGTCCTGCATTGAGTGCAGCCTTCAGGTGACTGGAATCAAAATCTCTGAAATAAAGGAGATGTAGACAGAATGATATACTGCCTTTGTTCTGTTGAAACAGACACACAAATAAAAAAAAATAAAAAATTTGTAGTTGCAGAAAAAAAAGGAAACATATATATATATATATATATAATTAGTGTTATCTTCAGGGAAGAATACAAATCAGGCCAATTAGGATGAATGTCACAAAAATAGGTCCAAGTCATATTTTACACCATAATAAAAACAAATAATAAAAACAGCAAGAAAAAATATTTTGCATAGAGGAGATTTATTTTTACAGGTTCTAATTCTCATAACACGTGTGTGAATAAAACATTTATAAATACTACTGTAAGAATACATTTTCGTAGTATTTGTTGTACTGAATTTAGTTTATCCTCATTTTAATTTTATATTACATAAAAACATTCTGGATCATAAAGTATGAGTTTCAACACTGTATCTGCAGTAATGAGAATCTTGTATTCTCTTTGTAAAATATCACATCTTCTTTGGATTGTGGGGTGAAATATGACCCATAAAATCCTTTGTGACACTCACCCAGTAGTAACACTTTAGTTTATCACTGTATGCAAACACACCACCATAAATGCATTGCACAATTAATTAACAAAAAATTATAATAATAATTGTTTCTCACGACAGTCAGCGTAGCAAAATATTAAATAATTCTCCATTTCAATGACTTAACAGGTTAAAACAATGTAAAGGAAAACTGGACAGAGGAAAAATTATATAAATATACTGACATAATCAACAGTATGTGCATGAAGTTTCACGGTGCTTGCAAAGCATGTTAGAGGCCAGGAGTGCCCCCTCCTGGTTTTACTTTCAACAGCAGCATTTTGAACAGCGTAGGCTGACTTCTTAGGGGTTAAACCCACAAGGCATTTCTTAGCAACTAGAAGTCTGATACAAATTCACAACTGAAGCCCCATTCAACTGCGAAAACCACCCCACCATGAGAGCGATAGTCTTACATAGATCGATAGATTCACAATTCAAAATATATACTATTTACTTCCAGTGTAATGTTATTATTTTTTATTTTTTTTATTTTGTTCAAGTTTGAGAAGTTCCAACTTACTCGATTCAATTGCAGGGTTTGAAGTCTCTGTTAAACATTCACAGTTTCTATGCGCTGCATGGTTACTTTTCAAGTTAACAAGCATTGATACTGAATGGAATTCTCCGGTCAAACGACTTTTTTTGTTTTCCTTGATAAAGTAGAAATACTGAGGGACAGGAAATGCACTGCAATATCACATGACCAAAACCAAACAACTGCCAACTGAGAAAGGAAGCAGGAAGAGTTAAATAAAAAAAACAAGGGTGGAAAAAGCAGAGATCAAAAGATCAACAGAGGTGTAGTGCACAACTGTGCTCCTGGTCTATCGATACACGAGGTGGGATATGGTGCTGGACTTGAAATTGAGCTGATGATTGGGCACAAAGTTATGATGAGGATTTTTGCGGGTGCACACATCACTGCCGTAAAGGCTCATGCACATCTCACATGACACCTTGGAGCAGTTCACACAGGTGTGAGAGGCCCCTGGCTTGTTGCAAAAGCCACAGCGGGAGCCGCCCACACTCAGCCGCTCACCCCCACTGCTGATGGAGCTGACCACCGGACTGCTGCCCGAACCCACGGCTTTACTGGGAAACAGCTTGGTGCTCATCACAGCTTTGTCCAGCAACAGCGAGTGGGACTGAGCGTGGGGAAGTGGGTGAGGGTGAGTGTGCGAGTGAGCGTTGGAGTAGACCGACAACTTCTCCTTGATGGGCATGTAGCCATCCAAAGGGCGGGAAGTTTTAGTGTAATCCTGGAAGCCACAACAAGGTGCCGGTTCCACTGCATGGCAGGACGAACACAAGATCATGTCGCACCTCTGGCAAGAGGAGAGCGAAGGACAGCCCATGCCGCAGCCCTGGCACTTCATCACATGTCCCTTCAGAACCCAACTGTCCCGGGACTCTCGAGGCTCCCGGCTCTGTGGCCTAGAGGGCGTCTGGTGGCCACCCAAACCCCGTTCAGTGTACAAGTCCACCTCATCCAGGGAGGACAAGTGGTAGGAGTATGGCTCAGACGGGGGCGACTGAATCGGGAAGAAGTCGGCCACTGGGCTGTAAGAGGGCGGCGCTGCCACAGGGTAAAGCGAAGGGCTTGGTCGGATGATTTCATCCTTCAAGTCTTCTTCCGTGTCGACGAACAGTGGCTCTTTGCGCAGGCTGAGCGAGGCCTTCAGCACAGGCTTGCTGGCTTGGTGCCAGTGTCCTGCACTGTCTGTTACATCCACCGACTTGGACGGCCGGCCGCTTCGCCTTAGGTGGGCGCGGTCGATATCCACCGGCCGCACCGACAGGCGGGACAAGTCTCCTGTAAGGCTGTCTCGTCGGCGGAGGGCGTCAGCGCACCCTGCTGCATCTTCTCTGGTGTTCCTCCTCACCTCCATGGCCTCCAGCTCCGAGGCAAAGCCCCGAGACATGGACACCACCTCGCCGAGCAGACGGCATTCAGCCTGGGCGAGGAGCAGTTCGAAGGCGAGCTGCCGGAGGTGGGAGGCTCCACCTGGATGGTCCCTAACGTGGTACTGTAATTCCTGGTCTCTTGAATAGCCCATGGTACGCAGCAGCGAACGCAAGTCTGCGTCGCATATCACCGACTGCAGTTGGTACACATACGGCCCCGTGAAGGTCTGTAAGAGTGAAAGAACAGTCATTACACACTCAAAAGCAAAGATTAAATTCATTTTTTCACATTCATGAACTAGAAAGGTTTTAATAGAAGGCTGAATAATTAACCCCAGAATGCAGTGCAGTCTCGCTGAAACTACAGACTTCTCACTGAAATGTAGGGCTGGGCGATATGACCTAAAATCAAAACCTCAATTAATTGAACACTTTACCTCAATTACTATTTATTAATTTTTATAAAACGGATAGTTCCGGTCCTTGATTCTGATTGGTTGAGTCAAGTTCAAAGCTGTTGTAAAATACTCTACAAACACACACCTTTGTTTACGTCTGTGTGTTGCTCGGCAACACAACCGTTTCTGAGGAGCTACATTGTTTGGTGGAAGAATACTGTTTTTATTAATATCATTACACTTTATTTGCTCTGTTCATGCACATCTCACATGACACCTTGGAGCAGTTCACACAGGTGTGAGAGGCCCCTGGCTTGTTGCAAAAGCCACAGCGGGAGCCACCCACACTCAGCCGCTCACCCCCACTGCTGATGGAGCTGACCACCGGACTGCTGCCCGAACCCACGGCTTTACTGGGAAACAGCTTGGTGCTCATCACAGCTTTGTCCAGCAAAAGCGAGTGGGACTGAGCGTGGGGAAGTGGGTGAGGGTGAGTGTGCGAGTGAGCGTTGGAGTAGACGGACAACTTCTCCTTGATGGGCATGTAGCCATCCAAAGGGCGGGAAGTTTTAGTGTAATCCTGGAAGCCACAACAAGGTGCCGGTTCCACTGCATGGCAGGACGAACACAAGATCATGTCGCACCTCTGGCAAGAGGAGAGCGAAGGACAGCCCATGCCGCAGCCCTGGCACTTCATCACATGTCCCTTCAGAACCCAACTGTCCCGGGACTCTCGAGGCTCCCGGCTCTGTGGCCTAGAGGGCGTCTGGTGGCCACCCAAACCCCGTTCAGTGTACAAGTCCACCTCATCCAGGGAGGACAAGTGGTAGGAGTATGGCTCAGACGGGGGCGACTGAATCGGGAAGAAGTCGGCCACTGGGCTGTAAGAGGGCGGCACCGCCACAGGGTAAAGCGAAGGGCTTGGTCGGATGATTTCATCCTTCAAGTCTTCTTCCGTGTCGACGAACAGTGGCTCTTTGCGCAGGCTGAGCGAGGCCTTCAGCACAGGCTTGCTGGCTTGGTGCCAGTGTCCTGCACTGTCTGTTACATCCACCGACTTGGACGGCCGACCGCTTCGCCTTAGGTGGGCGCGGTCAATATCCACCGGCCGCACCGACAGGCGGGACAAGTCTCCTGTAAGGCTGTCTCGTCGGCGGAGGGCGTCAGCGCACCCTGCTGCATCTTCTCTGGTGTTCCTCCTCACCTCCATGGCCTCCAGCTCCGAGGCAAAGCCCCGAGACATGGACACCACCTCGCCGAGCAGACGGCATTCAGCCTGGGCGAGGAGCAGTTCGAAGGCGAGCTGCCGGAGGTGGGAGGCTCCACCTGGATGGTCCCTAACGTGGTACTGTAATTCCTGGTCTCTTGAATAGCCCATGGTACGCAGCAGCGAACGCAAGTCTGCGTCGCATATCACCGACTGCAGTTGGTACACATACGGCCCCGTGAAGGTCTGTAAGAGTGAAAGAACAGTCATTACACACTCAAAAGCAAAGATTAAATTCATTTTTTCACATTCATGAACTAGAAAGGTTTTAATAGAAGGCTGAATAATTAACCCCAGAATGCAGTGCAGTCTCGCTGAAACTACAGACTTCTCACTGAAATGTAGGGCTGGGCGATATGACCTAAAATCAAAACCTCAATTAATTGAACACTTTACCTCAATTACTATTTATTAATTTTTATAAAACGGATAGTTCCGGTCCTTGATTCTGATTGGTTGAGTCAAGTTCAAAGCTGTTGTAAAATACTCTACAAACACACACCTTTGTTTACGTCTGTGTGTTGCTCGGCAACACAACTGTTTCTGAGGAGCTACATTGTTTGGTGGAAGAATACTGTTTTTATTAATATCATTACACTTTATTTGCTCTGTTTTATTTTGTGAAACCTTAGCTGTTATATATTCACTGTAAACCATGGCTTCTTGGGGCTTATTGCTGTAATTTCCTTTCTTTCTTTCTTTCTAGCCCTAATAGTTCAAGTTTAAATTAAAGGTTTGTACCATAAATATACTCAAATATTAAAGGTGGGATATTTTTATATATTTTATGACAAGAGGACAAGAGTGTATTTCTTATCTTTGTGTAATAATTGAAGGAAACAAACTATTTGTGGTTATTTGTTGAATCGATTAAAATATTAAAATCAGAGCTTGCTTGAAATAATCACATTTCAGTTTAATTGTAAAAAGAAAGTTTCCTAAAAAAATAGATTCATTTTTGCAAACAAAATAAAGGAATATTGCCATGTCAAAATGAGAAAACAACCAGCAAACAAAATAGCCTACTTTTTAAATATTGTCATGTGAAAAGCAGAAAATAATAACTTGCATCTCCTGTAAACAAATGTTTTAAATAATGAATGTAAATATAACTGCTGATTAAGAGAAAGAGCAGGGCACCGTCTCAGTGATCTTGTGGTGTCACGCTATAAGCACAAGTATTTACTCTAGGTTCTTACTGGCCATTCACACAGAACACACCTTTGCATCTAAAACTGTGAGACGCAGCACGTAAAAAATTATTTATTTATTTTTTAATAAAGTGCAGGACAGAATGCCTACTATTCCCCTCAAATAAAAATTTTGCCATGCCACCCTGCTACTGAAAACAAAAGCTTGCCCCGCCTCCAGGGTCTTCTGATTGGTCCACTGTTTTGGAACCGACATTGATGAGCGGCACTGTGTGTAAAGGTTTAAATTCTTTTGCGAGACGCTGCAAAAGATGCAAGCACAACTACACACGCGGTAAGTATCTTTTTAAGGGAAAAGTATTAATAGGATTTTAAAAAACAATATAACCGACATGGGAAAATTACATTTGTTTACGGTTCGATGAACCGTCCAGCCCTACTGAAACGTCATTCCCTTTGTGCGCCACGGAAAAAAACAACAATGAATCCTTTAATCCGTTGACTCACCTTTATGCAACGGAACTCTTTCTTCCAAGGAAAGAGCAGCAAGTTGGAACAGATGGTTTCCAGCGTCGCAAAGGCCGTCTCCAATGTCCGCAAGTTTGCGCTTCTCTGAGTCCTCAGGGAGTTCTCAGTCATTTCATAGAATCGAACCATGCGAAAGCGCTGCCCTGGATCGGGCTGGTATGAGCCAAGCAGTGCTGTTGCAGTAGAAATCAGTGCCTCCTCGGTCTTGGCTCCTCCTCCTCCTTCACCGGCTCCCTCCTCAAGCCGATTCTCCAAAGACGCCACATACCTGCGGAATAGATCTTCTCGCAACTTGGCATCCATCGGTGGCAGTGGGCTGCGTAGCATGCAACCTCTTATCCTACAATCCAGGAGTTTCTTTAAACGGGACCCCTTGCCATCTCAAGTCCTCTCTTCCACTAGACACCGGAAGACCTGGGACAACGGTGCAGTGTGGTGGGGAAAATCAGCAAGTTGCGATCATCCTCCAAAAGAGCGATATGCAATAATGAAAGTGAAGATGTGCTTGGTTTAATTCGGGCGTACGCCTTGCCCAGGGCTCTTTCATGCTGTAATGGGCATCTCTGGGCTCCTCATTAGCCAAAACACCTCAACAGGACATGAGAAGGTTTTGGGATTTGGGTGCTGGATGGAGAGTCCTCACCTTATTAAGCCCTTACTGCCAGGCTTTACCCCGCAGTAGGTTGAAGGTCAGGGTTTGCAGAGAGGAGCGCACATTAAAAACACCATGTCCAATGCTGCAACGACAGAAGAACAAAATCTGTTTGATAAAGACAAGTCTACGTCCAAAAAGAGGACATGTCCGGGGAAAAGAGGATGCATGGTCACTCGTCTCCAATGTCCGCAAGTTTGCGCTTCTCTGAGTCCTCAGGGAGTTCTCAGTCATTTCATAGAATCGAACCATGCGAAAGCGCTGCCCTGGATCGGGCTGGTATGAGCCAAGCAGTGCTGTTGCAGTAGAAATCAGTGCCTCCTCGGTCTTGGCTCCTCCTCCTCCTTCACCGGCTCCCTCCTCAAGCCGATTCTCCAAAGACGCCACATACCTGCGGAATAGATCTTCTCGCAACTTGGCATCCATCGGTGGCAGTGGGCTGCGTAGCATGCAACCTCTTATCCTACAATCCAGGAGTTTCTTTAAACGGGACCCCTTGCCATCTCAAGTCCTCTCTTCCACTAGACACCGGAAGACCTGGGACAACGGTGCAGTGTGGTGGGGAAAATCAGCAAGTTGCGATCATCCTCCAAAAGAGCGATATGCAATAATGAAAGTGAAGATGTGCTTGGTTTAATTCGGGCGTACGCCTTGCCCAGGGCTCTTTCATGCTGTAATGGGCATCTCTGGGCTCCTCATTAGCCAAAACACCTCAACAGGACATGAGAAGGTTTTGGGATTTGGGTGCTGGATGGAGAGTCCTCACCTTATTAAGCCCTTACTGCCAGGCTTTACCCCGCAGTAGGTTGAAGGTCAGGGTTTGCAGAGAGGAGCGCACATTAAAAACACCATGTCCAATGCTGCAACGACAGAAGAACAAAATCTGTTTGATAAAGACAAGTCTACGTCCAAAAAGAGGACATGTCCGGGGAAAAGAGGATGCATGGTCACTCTAATTTATAATCTATTGCTAATTGATGTATTCTTTTTAAAGTAGCCTATGGAACATATTTGCTGCCTCATTCTGTGACAAGAAGCCTCATCAGATCACAAAAGGAAGCATGTGACTGGTGTTGTGGAGTGAAACGGTTATCATTTTCTCTTTTGTTGGACAACAGGGTTAGAAATGTGAATATAAGGGAGGTTTAACTTTATGCATTTTAATTTACGCATGTTTAGCTTAGTTAACGGAAGGCTACCTGCTGCCATCAGAGCAAGTGTAATTACTGCATTCACGCGCTCCTCGAATGCTCTCATTTCTTAGTTGTGTTTTTAAGTCGGAATGCGAAAACAACATGGGCACTCGCGTTACTACAAAGATGTGTTGGATTTGTATTATTAGAGCTTTCCGACTTGAGTTCACGTGCATTTTCTCAGTCGGGAAATTATTTTTCACGTGCGGGTACCAGTGACGATGCTTCTTACGTCCGTTTCGGAGAACCAGAGGACAAAAATTTAAATCGATCACTCAGGCATGGCAACGAAATGAGGCATCGAAATCTGCGTTCAGATTCGGTTCTAGTACAGACCGGTTACATAGGTACTAGTGCCATATTGGTACCGGGTTTCGGTACTAGGGCTGCACGATGAATAGCATGTGATTATCATGCACATCTCGTCAGTAAAGCCGGTTCTGTGATTAGCAGTAAATGTTCATCACGTGCATTCAGATAGAGTGGCATTTAATACAGAGCCGTAGTTCGCTGACAAGCTACGCAATATGGCGTTCATAATCGAATATGATTCATCTGCGATTATGAACGCGATATTGCATAGCTTGTCAGCGAAATATGGCTCTGTGTATTAAATGCCACTCTATCTGAATGCACGTGATGAACATTTACTGCTAATCACAGAACCGGCTTTACTGACGAGATGTGCATGATAATCACATGCTATTCATCGTGCAGCCCTAGTACCGAAACCCGGTACCAATATGGCACTAGTACCTATGTAACCGGTCTGTACTAGAACCGAATCTGAACGCAGATTTCGATGCCTCATTTCGTTGCCATGCCTGAGTGATCGATTTAAATTTTTGTCCTCTGGTTCTCCGAAACGGACGTAAGAAGCATCGTCACTGGTACCCGCACGTGAAAAATAATTTCCCGACTGAGAAAATGCACGTGAACTCAAGTCGGAAAGCTCTAATAATACAAATCCAACACATCTTTGTAGTAACGCGAGTGCCCATGTTGTTTTCGCATTCCGACCTTAAAGCACAACTCGGGAAATGAGAGCATCCGAGGAGCGCGTGAATGCAGTAATTACACTTGCTCTGATGGCAGCAGGTAGCCTTCCGTTAACTAAGCTAAACATGCGTAAATTAAAATGCATAAAGTTAAACCTCCCTTATATTCACATTTCTAACCCTGTTGTCCAACAAAAGAGAAAATGATAACCGTTTCACTCCACAACACCAGTCACATGCTTCCTTTTGTGATCTGATGAGGCTTCTTGTCACAGAATGAGGCAGCAAATATGTTCCATAGGCTACTTTAAAAAGAATACATCAATTAGCAATAGATTATAAATTAGAGTGACCATGCATCCTCTTTTCCCCGGACATGTCCTGATGTATTCTTTTTAAAGTAGCCTATGGAACATATTTGCTGCCTCATTCTGTGACAAGAAGCCTCATCAGATCACAAAAGGAAGCATGTGACTGGTGTTGTGGAGTGAAACGGTTATCATTTTCTCTTTTGTTGGACAACAGGGTTAGAAATGTGAATATAAGGGAGGTTTAACTTTATGCATTTTAATTTACGCATGTTTAGCTTAGTTAACGGAAGGCTACCTGCTGCCATCAGAGCAAGTGTAATTACTGCATTCACGCGCTCCTCGGATGCTCTCATTTCCCGAGTTGTGCTTTAAGGTCGGAATGCGAAAACAACATGGGCACTCGCGTTACTACAAAGATGTGTTGGATTTGTATTATTAGAGCTTTCCGACTTGAGTTCACGTGCATTTTCTCAGTCGGGAAATTATTTTTCACGTGCGGGTACCAGTGACGATGCTTCTTACGTCCGTTTCGGAGAACCAGAGGACAAAAATTTAAATCGATCACTCAGGCATGGCAACGAAATGAGGCATCGAAATCTGCGTTCAGATTCGGTTCTAGTACAGACCGGTTACATAGGTACTAGTGCCATATTGGTACCGGGTTTCGGTACTAGGGCTGCACGATGAATAGCATGTGATTATCATGCACATCTCGTCAGTAAAGCCGGTTCTGTGATTAGCAGTAAATGTTCATCACGTGCATTCAGATAGAGTGGCATTTAATACACAGAGCCATATTTCGCTGACAAGCTATGCAATATCGCGTTCATAATCGCAGATGAATCATATTCGATTATGAACGCCATATTGCGTAGCTTGTCAGCGAACTACGGCTCTGTATTAAATGCCACTCTATCTGAATGCACATGATGGACATTTACCACTAATCACAGAACCGGCTTTACTGACGAGATGCGCGTGATAATCACATGCTATTTATCGTGCAGCCCTATTCGGTACCCAACCCGACTTCCAGGGGGTTCTGCACTCATTGAGATGAATGGCAATGCTAACGAATAGCTTTCTCCAGGTATTATATATAGACGTCCTTGACTGAAATCACAAGCAAATTAGCCAAAATATTTAATAAACAAACAGGTAAGGAAGAGGGAACAATTCATGAATTGTCATTTCTGTGAACGTTTCGCAAAACTCTGCGGGCACAGATTTCCTATTGGACCTGCCAATAATGTCCACATAATATGGGAGTAAAGGGTCTCTATTTCTAGCAGTGAATGTGGACTGTTTTCTTCTAGATGGCTGCCAACTAAACACCTGCACACTATTCCCAGTGTTTACCTTCAATGATGCAGGCTGTCATTCCAAGCTGCTTAATTCATACCAACACTAAACAGTCATTTTCATGTGCTTTATCAGAGAGGCCTCATATCATAACCACAACACCCCACTAAACATGGTAAAGCTAAAATCCCCACCTCAATAAACCAGCGTTCGCAGAGACCACAGTTAAGCGTTAATAAATAATCATGCTCCATCTGCATTTCATAAACAGTACGTGTGTTAGCCACACAGCTAACCTGACAGTACTCACAGTAAACACATCTGTCAACGCGCAAGTCAGTCCGATCTGATCGCTCAACTTGTCGTTATTAAAGGGATAGACATCAATGAAGTTGTTACTCTACTCGAACACGTTTCAAGCTCATCTTTGACAGATATCAGATGCAGCTAGCACAGCACTGCTAACATTAGCGCAGTTGCAGGGCCCTGTAAATCCACACACACCACACAATTTAACCGTACACCGTCCTGCGCATTTCATAAACAGTACGTGTGTTAGCCACACAGCTAACCTGACAGTACTCACAGTAAACACATCTGTCAACGCGCAAGTCAGTCCGATCTGATCGCTCAACTTGTCGTTATTAAAGGGATAGACATCAATGAAGTTGTTACTCTACTCGAACACGTTTCAAGCTCATCTTTGACAGATATCAGATGCAGCTAGCACTGCTAACATTAGCGCAGTTGCAGGGCCCTGTAAATCCACACACACCACACAATTTAACCGTACACCGTCCTGTAACTACTGTTTAATTACCTCAATAAGGACAAGACGTGAAAGTGAACATGTCCGTTGAGTGTCATGCAGTGCTGGGCAGCAGCATTACCGAGCCGCCCTCTCCCCATCATCCAGCGCCTCTTACCTTCATGTTCCGCTGGAAATCCCCACCGCCGCACTGCGCATGCGCCCCGCTGCCTCCCCTGCAGCCTGCGGGACTAGCGCTGGATCGTTCGATTCATTCAGCGAATCGGTTCGCATAAATGATTCGATTCATTGGAGTCGTCTGCGCTCAAAACAGTTCCCAGAAGTCTCTGCGCTGCATTTGACGTCTTCCTTTCTGAACTTTAAATCAATGTTTGTTTAAACACCGCGCTAAGGTTTTCAGTTACCTTAACTCGTTAGGTTTGTAAATGTATGAGTAATCAATCGTTGACAATGTGATTCAGTTTGTTGCTGTCCTTCTTCTGTAAAATGTCCTGTTGTTTACGTTTCTAATATGTGACCCTGAACCACAAAACCAGTCACAAGGGTCTTTTATTGAGATTTATACATCTGAAAGCTGAATAAATAAGCTCTCCATTGATGTATGGTTTGTTAGGATAGGACAATATTTGGCTGAGAAACAACTATTTGAAAATCTGGAATCTGAGGGTGCAAAAAAATCTAAATATTGAGAAAATCATCTTTAAAGTTGTCCAAATGAAGTCCTTAGCAATGCATATTACTAATCAAAAATTAAGTTTTGATATATTTACGGTAGGAAATGTACAGAAGATCTTCATGGAACATCTTTATTAATATCCTAATGATTTTTGGCATAAAAGAAAAATGGATAATTTTGACCAAACAGCAATTGTTGGCTATTGCTACAAATATACTCGTGTGACTTAAGCTGGTTTTGTGCTCCAGGGTCACAGATATGTTATATCACCCACAGTTTCATGCTTAAAAAAGTTCTACCGCTTCGAAAACTGGTTTTGAAATAGCATCGTTTTGGTAGACCACAGTTATTTAACTCAGATGGTCTTCTTTTTACACACGAGGAATTCTTAGCTAAATGCAATTTTCCCATACCGCCAAAGGAATTCACAACGGTTTTTTTGCCGCAGTCATTCCTAAAATAGCTATGTTGTTTAAACGGCAAAAACAGATTAAATTATCAGCAATTCCCACAACTCTCACACTCCCCTATTGATCAAATATGTTTTTCCTATCGTTGTAATTATTATAACAGATCAGTAAGAGCCATTTTCCAGGAGGATGTTGCTTCGAAACCAAATGTTGCATGTTGGAATCAATTTGTGAGTGATGTTGATTGGAAAAAAGTCTGGCCTCTGCCAGTCCGCTATCTCTTAACAAGGTCAAAGAGATATATTTTAAAAGTCCTTCACAGAATATACCCCGTTAAACTGTATCTACGAAAAAAAAAAATATATATATACACAGATTACTTTTTTCAAGTAACTAGTAAAGTAACGCATTACTTTTTAATTTACAAGAGAATATCTGAGTTACTTTTTCAAAAAAGTAATGCAAGTTACTTTGTTTTCCAATTTATTGACTGACAGCTCTCCTGTCCCCATACTGGGAGAAATCGGTAGGAAAGAGGAGTTGTGTGCGCTGTGTGAACATGATGTAGTTCTAGACTAAATGTGAATGTGCATTACTTCATAACACTCACAAAAAACTGATTTAGTATTCATCAAAATGAATTAAAACTCAATGCAAAGTGAAATGCAAACTCAGAATATGACGCAAACCTGCAATAATTAAATATGTTAAATAGCACAAATGTATCTAATCCCATTTTATTAACTAATGTCTTTGCTGCTGACCTTTGCTGATCCAGTTCAACCGTACTAATAAGCAAAAATGACTTTAGATAAACTAACAATTGTGCTTTGTTTTTTATTGCTGAAGAGTGTTTCTTCTCCTGCATTCTACTGTACAGACGTGAATTTACTTTAGCTTCAGCCTGAGGTTTATTCATTACACTTTTTGGTGTGAAAGGGCTTTTATATTAGCTATAAATACAACTTATTATATTAAAAGCAATCAAGCCCTGCTCATATTTAAAAAGTAACGCGAAAGTAACGTATCACATTACTTTAAATAAAAAAGTAACTAAGTAACGCAATTAGTTACTTTTTTAGGGAGTAATGCAATATTGTAATGCATTACTTTTAGAAGTAACTTTCCCCAACACTGGTAATATGTCGATTTTGCGAGCAGAAGCCATAGACAGCTGTTCATTTGTTTTTATTTTATTTGTTGTAATTGAATTGTATTGCATGCGTTAACATTCTACCTCGCGGTCGAGTGATTCATTTTCTCGTTCACGCCTTCCAAATCATTTAAAAGAACCGGTTCAACTCCGTGATTCGCTCATGAATCGGATACCTACGGTGGCCGAGAAGTGCAGAACAAATCACAATTCTGAAAACAAAATAACAAATTACAAACGCAAATGCAAGTCTAAAAAACAAAATAACAATTCAGAAAGCACAACAACAATTCAGAAAACATTATAACAAGTCATAAAACACAATGACAAATTCGAAAACAAATTAACAAGTCAGAAAACACAACGACAAATCAGACAAACCGGCAGAGGTAGGTATAGTTTGAGACGGCGCCATTGGTTTGGGATTACTCACTGCTGACTGGACGAGACATCTGTCAATCAACGTATACAGGACGAACCAGCCGAAGAACAGCAGAGTCATGGTAGAAAGTTCGGAGATGGTATTAAAGTAGCTCAGTTTAAATGTTTTGTATGAATTGCCCTTACTATGGAATAAAAAATATGGGGTGTATATTTGCATTTAGTTAAAAGTGACTAAAACATCAGCTCCAGTGGCGCAGGTGGATAAGCGCGTGTTGTTGGCTTTTTGACGCGATCGACCCAGGTTCGATCCCGCCTTTTGCCAATCTTTTTTTTTCTCCCTTTTCAAATCTCGTATCACATCGTAAAGGCATTTATTTTCAATAAAAATTAAGGAAATAATCAAAAAGTTGAAAATAAAGTATGGGGTAGGGTTAGGGTGGGTGTAGGGAGGTCTTTATTGTACCAATAAGGTGGCGTCCATTTAATAATTAAAATTTAAATGATAATTTACACTCAATACGTTATTATTGCATACTGTTTTATAATGTACTACAATACTGAAGTGCAGATAATTGCCACTATTTGCAACAAGTAGTATACTTGATAGTAGAAATCCTGCTATTTTAACATAGTGTATTTGCACTTAGTGTAAATAGAATCCATTGCTAATGCGAGATTTGAAAAGGGAGGGAAAAAAAGTTTGGCAAAAGGTGGGACCGAATGTGTCAAAAAGTTAGTGACACACGCTTATCCACCTGCGCCACTGGAGCTGATGTTTTACAGCCACTTTTAACTAAATGTCAATATACACCCCGTATTTTTTATTCCATAGTAAGGGCAATTCATACAATACATTTAAACTGAGCTACTTTAATACCATCTCTGAACTTTCTACCACGACTCTGCTGTTCTTCGGCTGGTTCGTCCTGTATACGTTGATTGACAGATGTCTCGTCCAGTCAGCGGTGAGTAATCCCAAACCAATGAAAACAAACCTCTTCCGGTTTGTCTGATTTGTCGTTGTGTTTTCTGACTTGTTAATTTGTTTTCAGATTTGTCGTTGTGCTTTCTGACTTGATATTTTGTTTTCGAATTTGTCATTGTGTTTTCTGACTTGTTATTTTGTTTTCTGAATTTGTCATTGTGTTTTCTGACTTGTTATTTTGTTTTCTGAATTTGTCATTGTGTTTTCTGACTTATTTTGTTTTTTAGATTTGCATTTGCGTTTGTAATTTGTTCTTTTGTTTTCAGAATTGTGATTTGTTCTGCACTTCTCGGCCACCGTAGATACCACTTGCTATACCGCACTCATAACTCTTCATTAAAAGACTACACGCACTCACTAGGTACTACATTGCAGTCATCTATTTACCCACTACTGTTTTTGTCCTCAGACGAATAAGGCTGTATTAATGTATGTCCTCATGCGATCAGCTGAGTTATTGCTCCTCCTCCCTCCCCAGCAGTGAATCTCGCCGGAGTTCAAGAAGACGGAACACAGCGCAGGAGACATGGCTATGCGCACAACACAACCTCAAACTGATGCGATCGATGCAGGATATGAGGACTACCTCTGCCCCGTGTGTCTGGAGATATATGTCTCTCCGATGACCACAGACTGCGGACATACGTGAGTATCCTTGCGGTCTCGTGCCTCGCAGCAGGAACTTCTCGTTTGACATGTTGTTTAGTTTCACGTTTATCAAGTTATCACGTGAAACCGACGCGCAGACTCCATGCCATGCAATTTAATCTTAATATGACTGTGTCGAATAATCAATAATAAATGCAGTTGTGATTCGAGTTTCTCAGGAGGCAGAAATTGGTTACTTTCAGTTTTGCTTCTTGTGTAGGCTTCTAAACTTGTGCTGTGTGGGAGGGATGCTGGGAGTTGTAGTGCTGCTCACTTAATTATAGCTTGAACAAACTACAATACTCAAGTTGTCCTTCTATGAATATCTTACTTTTTGTATGAATTTTAAAGCTCGTACTTTACTGACAAACATAACACTAGTAAAAGTGACACATAGAGTCATAAATGCCTGATTGATAGCCTACCTTGATAAGATACATTGACACTCATTTATTTTTTTAGGGAACAGCTTATTACTTTAAATGGGGGGAAATCTGACTTGTGTGTGCGCATGTATGTGTAGCCAGATGTGCATATTTTTATCAAGGGACAAAGTATATGTTTTATATCATTATATATGTACATATGAAATGTCTTAGTGAAAGTATATCCTTTTCTTTTGGTCAGATTCTGTGAAAGCTGTCTTAAGGAGTGCTTGCGGCCTCAGAAACCCGTGTGTGCAGTCTGCAGGTCTGATCTGCACGAGTGGAAACAAGCAGATCATTTACTAAATGAGATGAAAAGATCAATTGGAAAGTGCAAAGGCTGTAAAAATGAGGTGTGTGGGTGCATGTATGGGAGTTAAACTCTAAGTTATATTGAAATGTGGCGTTTATTCCGGCCAAGAACCACCCACTTAGTCCAGAAGAGACTGTCAGACCAATATATAAATTGATCGTTCACATTATATGCATGTAAAAAGCATTGTACTACAATAATAAATTAATGGAGAATAGAAAACAAACTTGGACGGTTGTGCAGGAAATACTGAAGAAACCTTGGCAGATAATTAAATTAATTTATAAAATGAATGCATTTAATCAATTAGAAAAATAAGACATTGTCGAACTGTTACATCTTTACACTGCAGAAGTGGCACATTAACTGCTTCTTAAGCGGCATTTAGATGTATTTTCTCTTTAATGCGGCTCGTAGGTGTCATGAATGCATTTACACTACAGTTGCATGATTTATTTAAAACATTAAATTTAGATTTTTGAAATATAAATGACAAATAAAAACAAAGAAATATTTTTAAATATGACCCTAAAAGTGCCAGTAGGTGAGTCTTTGAATCATTCATTTAAATGATTTGTTTAAAATCATTTATTCAGATATGAAGCAAGTGGCTGTCTTCATAAAACAGTTGAATCATTCACTCATACAATTTGCTCAAAATCATAGATTTGTTTGAAGCTACTGAAGAAACTCAAGCGATTAGTTAGCACTCATGATTACAGCCTGGTGTGTTTCCTGTCAGACTGATCAAAACCTGTTCACCCTGACTTGTGGAAAGTGTATACTATCAGGCATTCCATTTGGAGCTTTCGGTTTTCAAAAGTGCTTTGCAGTTTTGTGTGCGGTGTGCATCAGACGGTCCGTGAACAGACTGTGGGTGGTCCTTGAGCTCACTGTCTGAGTCTAAGGTGTTCCTAAGACTTTTTTTTTATCTACTCTCTGGCAGGTTCTTTTGTCTGACATGAGAAGCCACACAGGGTCTTGCTCTAAATATCAAGACTTAATCAATGAAGGTATGAAGGCCATTTCAAAGAACCAGCCTTCAATTGTCAGGTAAAATAACTGTTTTCAGTATTTAAACATTTACGTTGATTCCACTTTGAATACAAAATTGCGACATCTGTGGCATTGTGCTGTGTGATAAAACTGCACATTTTAGAGTGGCCTTTTATTGTGGCCAGCCTAAGCCACACCTGTGTAATAATCATGCTGTCTAATCAGCATCTTGATATGCCACACCTGTGAGGTGGGTGGATTATCTCGGCAAAGGAGAAGTGCTCACTAACACAGATTTAGACAGATTTGTGAACAATATTTGAGAGAAATAGGCCTTTTGTGTACACACTTTCTACACACTGGTTTCTTGTTCCTCCTGTTCCTTTAGTTCAGTGCCAAACCGTTACACGTTCACCTGTCCCTACTGTAACAAACAGAACTTTGACCAGGGTGGTCTGGTGGAGCACTGCACCTCAAAACACGCACAAGACCCACGTCAAGTGGTGAGCATTTTGGATGGATCTCATTTACAATCCTAGAAGTGGCCAAGTATATTGTTTTGATTTGTAAAAGTCACCCTTTTTAAGCCATTTCTATTAAAGTACATGTATCTACATATAGCTAGATCTATTTTGAATATCAATGAAAAGGAATACTTATCAGCATTTATATTTGTTAGCTATGTCTCCAAGCCTTCTGAGATTGCGTTTACACGACAACGATGTAGTCAAAAATGGAAAAGTTTTTCCCTTGCGTTTTTAAAAATTTCACGTTTGCATGACAACGTTTTCAAAACGATTTGTGTTTACACAACGGCCAAAAATGCTGTATTACGTATGCCAGGCCAGTAGTTGCCACTGTCACCTTGTTAGTAAACAGTACCTGTTGCCGTGTGTATTTAGAGCCCGGTCTCATGAAAATGCTACGCACATGTTTGGCGTGCATATAATACGCAGTTTTCGCGTGCATATGATACGAAATTTGTTGGCATGCATATGAACCGCAGTTTTCGCGTACATATGATACGCATCTACTCCACAACCCTAATCCTACCATCGTGTAGCATATACATGCCAAAGTCCATTTTTGCATATCAATACCACGAGTTTTCGTTTTTATTTGGCGTATTATTTATACGCACTTTCATGAGATCGGGTTAGTATTTGATGCGTCTCCGCTGTTGGTTGTAATATTGGTGAAGTAAATCCACACTTTGCTGGAAACTCTTGAGCAGCAACAACAGTGCCATGTACTCCGCCATTGTTGTGTATGTTCGTTCGTGCTTGCCTTTAAAATCGACACGTTCGGCACATGTCTACATACCTAACGCGTAACACGTGCATACCTAACAACGGCATGTCGTCACCGTTTTCAAAGATTCCCGTTTTGGGGGTTTACACGGAAACGACAACGGTGATGTTTTCAATTTCAAAAACTTGCACTTCAGAACCCGTTTTCAAAAGAATGTGTTTTCAGTCCCCAAAACGCCGTTGTCGTGTAAACGAACAGGCATAATGGATAAAAAGTTTCCCGTTTTTGGCTGAAAACATTGTCGTGTAAACGGCCCGTGAAATAGTAACTGTTACCTGCGGAGTCAGGAGTTGTGACCCTTGTTTCCACTCCTGCAGGTGTGTCCGATATGTGCCTCAATGCCCTGGGGTGACTCTAATTACATGAGCGCTGACTTCTTTCAACACCTCAGAATGAGACATGCGTTTTCCTATGACACTTTTGTGGTGAGTAGATTACAATATTTACATGCTCTGGTTTTCCAGTGTTAAAAAAAAACAAAACTAAAAATTGTCATAGTGTTGACACAAAAATATCCTATTAATATTCCTTTTATATCTAGCTATAATACGGATCAGTCTTGCTGTATGCTTTTTTCAGTGATTTAACATGGGTTCTGTTCTCCAATTCAATAATTAGTAAACAAACATAACTTATATATATATTTCCTTTGGTATAAACAGTATAAATAGTCTTAGCCAATTCCAGTTTATGCCCGTGAAATAGTAACTGTTACCTGCGGAGTCAGGAGTTGTGACCCTTGTTTCCACTCCTGCAGGTGTGTCCGATATGTGCCTCAATGCCCTGGGGTGACTCTAATTACATGAGCGCTGACTTCTTTCAACACCTCAGAATGAGACATGCGTTTTCCTATGACACTTTTGTGGTGAGTAGATTACAATATTTACATGCTCTGGTTTTCCAGTGTTAAAAAAAAACAAAACTAAAAATTGTCATAGTGTTGACACAAAAATATCCTATTAATATTCCTTTTATATCTAGCTATAACACGGATCAGTCTTGCTGTATGCTTTTTTCAGTGATTTAACATGGGTTCTGTTCTCCAATTCAATAATTAGTAAACAAACATAACTTATATATTTCCTTTGGTATAAACAGTATAAATAGTCTTAGCCAATTCCAGTTTATTAAAGCTTTTTAGCAGTCTAGAACCCCCCTTTCTTGACGTTTTTTGATGGATGGATGGACTATTGGTCCAGCTTATTCAAAGTTGAAAAAAGAAAGAAGCAAATAAATAGAGCAACTAGCATTCGTTTTTTTTTATTAAATGTATAAACTTAACAGTTAACAATTACAGTTGGTCTGTAATGTTTTTTTCAAGTTCTATTAAATTGCAGTTGAAATTAAAGGTCCAGCTTATTCAAAGTTGAAAAAAGAAAGAAGCAAATAAATAGAGCAACTAGCATTCGTTTTTTTTTTATTAAATGTATAAACTTAACAGTTAACAATTACAGTTGGTCTGTAATGTTATTTTAACTTTTTTTTTCAAGTTCTATTAAATTGCAGTTGAAATTAAGATGGTCTTTAATATTGTGAATTACTAATTAAACAATAAATAAAAAGCTTAGTTGAGCAGAGCTTTATTTGCACTAAACAATGTATGTTTGTCTAACTTGTTGGGAAAAATGAAAAAGCTGTATAAATTGTGCACCAAAAACAAACTGAATGGACTAATTATTAAAGCAGAAGGAATGGAACAGTAAATACTCTGAGACTTACATTCTTTTTTTTTATTGTTATTATTAGGATTATGCTACAGATGAGCAAGCCATGATCCAGGAAGCTCTACAGCGCTCTCTCATGGAAAACTGATGTGAGGGACATATGGATCCCCAGCTGAACGTAACATAACCAAAAACCAATGCTTAATTATTAAAGCAGAAGGAATGGAACAGTAAATACTCTGAGACTTACATTCTTTTTTTTTTATTGTTATTATTAGGATTATGCTACAGATGAGCAAGCCATGATCCAGGAAGCTCTACAGCGCTCTCTCATGGAAAACTGATGTGAGGGACATATGGATCCCCAGCTGAACGTAACATAACCAAAAACCTATGCTTAAAAGATGAACAAACTACACTGGGATTCTGGGCTATTCTGATATATTGTTCTGCCTAATGTCGGTCATGCCAAAGTTCCTATTGGTGTAATTTTGGTGATTTCATATATTCATATATATACAATATTTCCATATACGCTCGAAGCTGTAAAAATACATATTCTGCCCATCTATAATTAATTCAGATTATATAACTGATTTGTGTTTATCTAGTATAGTTTGTGAAGCAGGCTGTCAGATTGTGTGACACTGGAACAGAACAGTCTGATATATGAGCTTGTGATATTAGAGTCTTGTCAGATGCTTCTAGTGTAGAACATATTGATATTGAATCATTAGATCATTCTTTTGATCTTGAGAGTGACATCTGATTCGGAGGCAATTTAGGGGAAGCAAAGGAATACGCTTTTTCTGTCGGGTGTGTTTTGTCTTGTTTTGTTCTTTTAAGAAGCCTAGATGTGTGTTCCACTTTGAGATTAGTGTTTGAAATGAGTTTGTTCAAACCAGTAGGGGGCAGTATTGTCTCATTAGTCAGCCATATTGTTTATCATCTCTGTACTCTCTGACCTAAGCGGTGCTCACTATGTAGTGCAGCTACTGGCAAGTCCATGACTTATCAAGAGGTATGTACTGATAGGATCTGCCCTTAAAGGGAGAGTTCACCTAAAAATGAAAATCCTGTCGTTATTTACTCACACTCACGTTGTTCCAAACATGTATGAATTTCTATACCATGTGGAACACAGAAAAATGTATGTACGGAGTTGCTTTGGACCACACTGACTTTCAATATATAGATAATAATAACAGTTCAAAATATCTTCTTCTGTGTTTCACATGAGAAAGAATCATTCAGGTCCAGAATGACACAAGGGTGAGCAGATGATGAGAGAGTTCCCATTTTGGGTGAGCTACTCCTTTAATCTCCAAATGCGTTTGTGTAACTCAGTAGAGGGCGTTTGCACTCTTCTTCAATTTTTTTTTAGTATATAGCAGTCAAACTGTACATGGCAGGTTTATGATATGGTAAAATGAGTCCATTTAATTGGCATTAGTTTGAAATCCTGCAGTCTATTGAACAAAAGTGTAATGTTGCGTTCCATAAAGTTAAACTTGTGTTGCATGCTGTTTGACACAGATTTTACCACTGTGAAGATAAATCATATTCTGTGCCTATTTCATTCATGGGCTGTTATTATTAGTGCTTAATGGCACTGATTCATTGGCCTGTATGTTAGTTGTGTATAGTTAATAAACCTTTTATCAAAAGCCTGTTTCAAATTAAACTATTATACATTACATTACATGCTATATTTTGCTCTTTTGTTGGTTTTGATTGCTTCTATTGTTCTCATTTCTAAGTCGCTTTGGATAAAAGCGTCTGCTAAATGTAGCTATACTGTTATAGCATTATCCTTGATTTTGTTATCGGAAGCATGTTCAAAAACACACTTTATTACTTTCCTCCTCCACATATTGCTTTCCCCCATTGTTCAATGCATGTGCATTCAATTTTGTTACAGTGTGTATCTCTCTCCCTCTCCTCCGCTCTAACTCCATTACTGTTGCTCATTTCCTGTCCCCCAGCGACTGTCAGCTCTCATGTCTGAAGGTGCTAAATCCTGATAAATTAAAGCTCTTTAATTATTTAAACACTGGACCCTGAAATCACTGTGAGTGATTTATACCGGTGCGTTAGACATGTTGGGCCAGAAACAACACCCACCTCTCTGATGGATGACTAAATGGAGGGGGAGCAAACACTACACGCTATAACAGTTACAGGGTCTTTCCCAGAAACCCTTTTTCTCATTTTTAAACAGATGCCCATCGCAGAATTATATATCATTCTGGAAATGCATGTGGTTTTTCAGCCTGATGATGCTGTATGAAAGGAGTTTCCTCAATTCTGTATGATAGGAAATAGGAAGTTTTATGGGAAATTGCATACGTGCATGTATCATTCAAAATGGCAAATCCACTGAGGAATCACCAGGCCTGAAAACCACTAAAAATTTTATTTATCCCCGAGTACACCTGTGCCTGGAACCACATTCATCCGCACAGATGAGTGGAGCCTAAACACATCTAAAAGTCACATGCAATTAAATTTTTTGACCCCTAGAGGGCGAAAGTTTTGTGCTGCGTCACAGTTCGTATTCTTCTACTATATTCTAAAACGTACTCTTTTTGAGAAGGAAAAAGTTGATCATTTTCTGTAGGGTAAAGCTAAAGAAGTTATAAAGTCAAGAGCAGATCTGAGTGTTTACATTTATTAGGAGTTTATTCGTTTATTAGGAGGTGTGCTTATGACGATACTCGCCAAAATACTGTGAGCTCAGTTCGACGATGTCACTGATATGTGCACTTTGTCAGAAATCGAATACTTCCTTACTAAACTGTATGCCAAAAATGTAGCATGTCCGAATTCATAGTATTCGAAAAACAGATGGCGAAAAGTACCCGGAAGACCTACTACTTCTGAAGTGTGCATTTGACGGACATTTTACTATCCAGCGAGGCAACGCAACTGATGCAGGTAGATCATGTGAGAGTAACAACAATATATAGCATATATATATATATATATATATATATATATGCTATATAGAATATACCTACTCAGACAATATGCAATTTAGGACACAAATCTGGAGCTGAATTGAACATCACCAATTTTGAAATTGGTTGTTTTTTTGGCCCATCCTGGCCCCTGTGCAGTCCGGCCTGTTTTTTTTTCATAACTGTAACTAAGTCCGACTCCTCCAAAGCACATTGGGTTTTGGGCAATATTAGTCATTACAGAGTGTAGCTAAAGTCAAAAACTCCATATAGCGAAAAAATGTTCCTTAACAATGACCCTAAAATGCTGTGTAGAAGCTTTTTTATTTTTAAGGGAAGCTCTCGGTATGCCTCAATATTGCTTTTTCAACTCATTTATTTGGGGTTTGTGTTGATAAAGTGTTAATTGGACTTCTTTGTGAGCGACAGGGGAATTTATGATGAAACTCTTCCCGGCAATCAGTGGAGAGCAGCAAGTTTATTTACACGGTCCATAGGGACAGAAGATGCTTCAACTTAACGTTTGTTGTCTTTCCTTCCCACACACTGTTTCAGTAATTAGTTTTCAGATCTCCATCAGGTCTCCTGCCTCTACACAGTAAATTCTCTAACCTGCTTGATGTTTTTTTTTTTTTTTCCTTTCTTCTTTCCTGGCGCTTTTTAACATTTTTTTTTTTTTGCTCCTGGCAGCTGAAGAAGTTCTCTAAGTTTGATCTAGCAAGTTTCTGTAGGGCTTCCAGGCAGGAAGGAAATGGTCCTGCAAAACACTGTCTCTCGCTCTCACCGTCGCTTTGTCTCGCCCCTTTTTGGTGGCAGTTGTTTTAAGGGAAGATAGAGGTGGGGGGGAGAAGAAAGTGAACATACTGAATGAAATTTTCATAAAGTTGAGCATGTGGTTTCTTTGATGAGAGAATGTGAAATGGTGTTAAGTCTCAGGGCTGTGTAGAAGCGGCAATTAGCGTAGCATGTTCCTCCTGGAGGCTTGTGCCGCGGGAGAGACGAAGGCTTTGTTTTCCTCAGATGTGTCATGCCCAGATTCACCCGCGTACCTCCTTTTCTCATGTTCCCTTCTTCAGTTATCCACGTAGTCTCAGGAATCATCACCTGTTGGAAGTGAATGTGATGACGAGCACTGTCTCTGGCAGTGAAGTAGAACTGAAATGGACTAAACAGACTGCGTGACGAGGCCCAAATCTGTGCCTGCAGAAAATCTGCAGGTTTTTCGAGAATTTGAACAGCCATCATTCACATGCATACATCCCCTTATTTTGGTTCATTGTATGATTTCAGCTACTAAAATTACCTACCTACATTTTTTGGAAAACTCTAAAAATTTACGTATACATACTATTCACTGCAGTTTCCAGTTAAAAGTAGGGACAGTAAAACACCTGCCATTTCTTATCAAGTTATGATTAAAGTTTATTATTAACAGACTTATTTTCATGCAGCTCCTTGAGCAGTACTATATTATAACCTCAAAGTGTCCATATGTGTGCTTTTCTAAAATAGTAAGCTTGCTCAGTAGCTCACCTGCTACAGCATTCCACATGCAACGCGAGTCCCCTAAAACAAGAAGACTTGTAGAGTCGAGCTAAAATGGCATGCGCGCTTCAGCAAATGTTTTTCCTACACTGGCTTCTGTTAATACTATCTGCACAGCCTTTTGATGCCACTTACCAGCCATTTCATTAACAAACTGCTGTGATATGTGCAACAACAAACTTAATTAAACATTACCAGATTCACATCTGTTTTGGAAAAAAACTAACGGCACTTTTAGTGCTGCTCACTGGAAATTTTAATAGTGTCACAAAACATGCAAAGTACATCCAACATAATATCATTTTGCAGAAATGGTGCCACAGGCATGTTTTTCCAATGATCCTGGGGTTAACATTTTAACATTCTGATGTAGAGTTTTAACGCAGAGTTTCCTTTTTTTTTTTTTTTTCACGCACATTTTCTTCACAAAAAGTAAAAATCCTGTTTAATTGTCCCCTTGTCATGTAAAGGTGTGGTAACATTATTGAAATTTCGGCCAGATTTTGCAGGCATGCATGAAGTGCAGCTTGCACAGAAGTCACTTTCCAGATGACTTCTCTAGAGAAGTTCTAGATTACATGGATTCCTCTAAATATCTGGATTTTGGCTGTGAACATTTGTGACCCTGGACCACAAAACCAGTCTTATGTTGCATGGGTATATTTGTAGAAATAACCAAAAATACATT